CATATATTATACTTCCTCTGTCCCAAATTAAATGTCCTCTATTGGAAAGACACAATTCGTTACAAAGAAAGCCTCAAAAGTACAAAACAAAGTCAGAATCGAAAGATTGGGTCCCCAAACCCTTAACTACAAATTTTGTGAAAAAATACTCATCCCCATTACCTCTGGGGCCCCCTCAAACTGTCTAAGATTTGGCCGAAAATTGTGCACTCTGATTCGGCGTCGATTGAAGATCCGCATGGTTCTGGGTCGCTCCCGTCCCAGGCGTGCCAAAGCAAAGTCATTGTCGACGTTGTTGCGAAGGGCAGTGTCCCTCACGTGGTATGGCGTTTGCCAAACATGCTCAACCGTGTTTGGATCCCCATCGAAGAAGCCCGTTGCCATGGCGTCAAAGATGGCAGAAATCGCCACCCTCCCTGATCTCCGATGCAAGGACTTGCGACAAGAGGAAAAGGCCAGCACTCAAGACACCCAAGCTTGGTGTCTGTGCGGGCTATCACTCTAAGGTTGTGTTGTGTTGAGTCGAGCCTTTCATGCATGGCTGGGCCTGCACTCCAGAGATTGCCACTAGCGGCCAACTCGTATGTGCGGTCCGCAAACCTTCGCAATCTAACTAGTCTCTACTTGCGGTAGAGACACAAACATGTCTCTCTGACCGTTTGCTTCGCATTCAACCCTTCCAATTGTTGATGCAAGGGTCGACTTCTCCATCCCGCCTTAGAAGCCATTCACCTAATCGTCCACAACTGATTAGGGCGATGGTCGTCGCATTCCTTCGCACCTCTTAGAGGGGCTTGGGACGCCTTGTGCGCGGTATCACTCACAACAACGATGGAGGTTCAAAGGTCGCAGCCCAAAAGTCTGGGCCAAAAATGCATCCCAGAACTGGCCAATCGATCTCGAATGAGCGCAGCGAAGGCGCGGCGACTTCCAAGATCAAGCCCACCAAGACACATTTTCTACTACGTCGCTTCTTCGCAGAGACCTCTCCAAGCTTCTGTCCAAACGGCGTGGATAGTTTTGCATAGGGGGCTTGGTTTCGCCACCGCAAAGGCGAGGTCCTCAAAACCACGAAAATGGCCATTTTCGTGGAGCTGTGGAAAAACGGGTGTTTTCTGGCTGGAGGACCCTTATTGCAAAGTATTGCCAAATCTTCAGTAGTTAACAGATTGACTTGAAATTTTCATAGTATACTCTGAAAACGTAGGCACAACCTTGACAAAATTTTATTGAGAAATGAAGAAGCTATGATGGAGAAGTGATGTGCCAAAGTCATAGAAGGCATTTAATTTGGGCGGAGGAAGTATTGTATTTTATAATATTATATTATATTATAGCTATATGGTGAGTAATTTCACAGCTCTGAACTTCATACAAAAACAGATGCTTGTCTTCAACCATGAATCGCATTGTAGGTGCCGAGGTTCATTTTCTTGGGCTGGATGAACGCACTGTGTGGACTACTAATCACTGACAATATTCAGTCATCCAAGGATCCGCACATGATAGATCATCGCCAGTACACCTGCGCAAAGATGGTGAGACCTCTTGGTGCAAAAGTGTTTTTTCTCACTTCACTCCTGTCCACTCCGCCTTATTTCTCATTCTCAACTCACACATCACATATAATAAACAATCTCAAAGCAACGGGTATGGTTTCACCGCCACACCCTTGCTGTCGCTTACCTTGTGCCATGGACTGCATCTGCATGGGCGCTGGCATGATGTTGGGTGCATGGCCCGTTTGGAGCTGTGCGCGTGGCGACGTCTCTGTTTCAGAGCCCCTTCTTGGGAGCACTCTGTTCCCTGAGGGGATCCTCTCCTCGTTCATGACCTCCAGCCGTGGCTCGCCTGGACTCCTCTCCCTCTTGGCAGAATGCCGGAAATCGTCATGCCTGCATCCAGGCACGACGCAGGCAATCGAAATCAGCTCTGTGTAAGGAAGGCGCTGAACAACAGTACCCATGCTTGCATCGCCAAATCCTTGGTGTCAGCCACTGATTCGATGCTCCACGCCTCGGTTCATCACTGCCAATACTATTCTAATTTTGTTTGCCCTAACTGCTGTTATTGGCACTACATCGCTGGCAGCTTTGCTGGACAGTGTGCTGACACAGCACCAGGAGCAACTTTTCGCTGCTCATGTTGCCGCCTCCACCAATACCTGTAGTCCGACAACAAAATGCCAAAATTGATCATCAAACAACAAATTCCTGATGACTGACAAAACGTCCTCAACTCGACTTTAAAAGGGCAACAGATGGCCCAGGATTTTCAGACCTGGATTGATAGCAATATTCGAGTTCGTTCGCCAGAAATATCCATTCTTATGCGAGAGAGACAGCCATGCAGATTGGACTGCAGAGTTACCAAAAGAAACATTGCACAGAAGCGGTGACAACATCTGCTGCGTGACAAGCCATCCTCTAAAGCAAGCAAGACAGGAGCCCACAACTGTTTTCAGGCATCCCTGATTTAGGCCCCCACAGGCGGTTACACCCCGGGGGGGGGGGGGGGGTTGTGCTTCGATGAGATCAGCACACATTCAGCTCCACAGCTTGCAGGCTGATGTTGCCAAACAATGGTAATAGACAGCACATCCCATAACCTTGGCCAGGGCCCAACGCATTCGATGCACAGAGAAACAAAAAAGGACATTAAGACCGCCACCAATGCTGCACAGTGCATAAATTATGGCTATCCGGTTCAATAAACCTACTGCTTTAAGTGCAAACAACAAAGTTCCAGGCGCATCAACGTACAGTGACTGCGGAGAGATACACTCCGATTGCACTAACATTCCATAATGCAAGCACACAATTTGTCTTGCACAACTTGCTTTGTGGAATATATTACACGGCAATTAACACAAACATCTTGTCTCGCACAAGTACTACTATGGCAGCATGGCTGACACTGACAGCAGCCAACTGTGCCAGGAGTGCATTGGCACCGCTGTGTCAAAGGGAATCCATTTCATGAAAGTGGTACAACCAAGTATTGTAGAGTAGTTTGCCTTGCACCGCTATTTCCAGAGAGAGTGTCCCACACCCTTGCCTACCTTGGCACCGGTGATAGCCTCCGGTGGGGTGGGGAGGGAGTGCGATGCCTTCGCATGGGGGGAGGAGGACTGCGCCTCATGGGTTCTGCAACACAGGGCACAGCAATGGTCACAGCTGATTATCCATATCGATCATTTGTTATTCCATATTCTACGTTCGATGTTGTATATTCTATAATCTAATATTCTAAAATACGGATGATGACAACGGTCCGATGGCAAAACACAAACCCACTCTGCTTGACACTAAATTGCCTGTGAATTCTTGCCGCAAATGCAGGTATAAGGGAACCATCTGTATCCATGTACTACACAATACCCAATTTCACATGAGTGCACTGCATCTGTTGTTGATGGCAGCTGCCGCTGTGTTGATTCCTTTATGGTTCTTACTGCAAGAAATTAATCTACCCATCTACCTGATATGTAGTGTCCATTATCTGCTGGTTATAATACCAACCCAACTCTAGGCAACCATGCAAGAAAGTCAGAAACCCTCAGGCCAACTCACCATGGCAATAGTTGCGCTCCACAGACCGCGACCTGGGTCTCTCCCTCACCCTCACAGGCGGGTCGATGGGCCGCAACCGCTCCACAGGCCGGCTCCGTTCCATGGGCTGTGGCCGCTCAATGTGCCGAGGCTCATCAATGTGCCTTGGCTGATCAAGGTGATGGCGATTGGCGCGGTAAGCCGCGAGAAATTGCGGCGCAGGCGCCGTAACATGCCGGCGGCACCGTGCCAATAAGGCTGTGCGCGCGGGTTTAGCGAAGGTTCCGGGGCTGGTGCGCTGCATCGCCGTTTGGCATTAATCAAACTCAAACCGCAGTACAACATTTGCTTTCGGCCTAAATCCACGCGACATAACAGGTGCTCATTAGTCTTCGATTCAGCTGCACTTCCCCCCATGTGGTTGCCTGCTTGTCTACCCATTCGTTCATTCATGTTCAATGGTCGCCCCACAACAGATGGCAGCACCCATGGGTGGCCACCCTCACCTGTCCCTGCCAACTGCACTCATTTTCGGCAGCCTGCTCCTCTCATCCTTTGTGCTTGGGCTCCTCAGGTCCTTCGCTTTGCTGCTGCTTGCTGGCTTTTCTCTCTTCTCAGCTGTCTTGCCTTCCTTGCAGGGTTGCTGCGCCTTGGGGCTGACGATCGTGTTGGCATCAGCCCGCACACCACTGCCACCCCGCTCCTGCTTGGCTGTGGGCTTCTTGGCAGCATGCTTGACGTACTTCACAGGAAACTTGCGCATCAGCTGTGGAGCCAACTCCCTGAGGAGGTCGTCAAACCAGAGGCTGGTCCCTGTGCATATGGCCTGGTATGGGATGGCCCCAAGTCCAAGGATGGCGTCCCTCCTGTGCATGAGCCACAATCTCAAGCATATCATGCATACACATCAAGTGCGGATGCATTCTGCCTGCCAGCCCAAAGATTACCACTTTTACATGATGCAGTACAGCAAGGATGTCATACGTGCATGCCTGTCAAGCATTTATGTCATGCATGCTAACAGTCAAAACACCAGGAGCAGTCTCAGACTGGAGATTATCTCCCTTCTGTGCCCGAGAAAGTGAATGTTATATATGTTAGATATGATTTACAATGCAGGTCAAGTGTAGACGGTTTGAATCAAGATGTCAGTGCATTCAAACCTGTCACGCATGTTTGCCATCACCAATGCTGCCTTCCCACCATGCTGACCTTTCTGGTTGTTAAATCCCAATGCCAATGGACTTTGATCGATATGTGCACACCATCACATTGTCCAACAACATACATTTTATGGATGCGCGTGTCATTAACACACAAAAGACCTGTGACATTCCATAACAGTACACAATATGCACTTCCACACCTTTACAGCATGACACAGCTCTCCAAAAGTCCAAAAGGACCTTGGGATCTTGGCAACTGCCCACTGCACAACTTCTATATTTCATTCCGATAATCGCAATTCCATGGCCAAAATCAGTAACACAAAAACTGACAAACCCAGCTCTGTTAGTTTCAGAATATAGCATCACATTAGGAGTCCAGGTGACAACAGAGGTGAACACAAAGCCCTTGTGCCTAGCAGACGATTGTGTGCACTAAAACCTACAATGAACACTCAGCATATGCTCCCGATCACACTTCTGCTTTGAGATTCACTGTTCCAGAGTGCATGCCCATCACCTGCTGTTCCTGGGCACCTTCATAAGCATCTCCCTCCGCTTGAAGTCCACAATGCCCTTCACTCTCTTGCACCCCAGGGTGTACACATGGTCCAGCCGCACCTCCTTCTCACCCTCAGGCGCCTTGACCTCCTGTTCCTTCCGCCGGCACAACTCCAAAAAGAAGGAGCCCACGTTCCAAACAGGCTCAAGGTTGGACTTGCTGAAGGCCTTGAGTGCCTCCGCCCTCACTTGGCTGCCCAGACAGCCCAACTGTTAGTCTACAGCAGCAGCTGACGCCGCTGCATGTTTTTGGCATACACGTTAGTGACAAATACATATGCAAACATACACGCATGCAGAGTTCTTTCATGTATTGGATATCCCAGACCAATACAGCATTGTATGCTCATGCAACTGCCTGCGCAATTCCACAGTACAACAGTGCTTTGATACAGTGATATACATGACGCGTTTTTACAGCCCACATGCCTGACTGCACACATCTTAACTCACCTTGGGTAGGCATTCAGCTGATTTCTGTGGCTTCCATCAAGGTAGCCCTCCGCCAGGGTCAAGCCTTTCTTGTAGTCTTCGTCATCCATCTGGCAAGGGTCTGGTATGATTGCATCCCTGTGCCTCGAGATGTATGTGCCCTCCTCTTCTCCCTTGATCTGAACCTGAGCGGACATAACAACAACAACTACAGCAACATCTACAACAGAAAACTGGCAATGCCACATGTCTCCACTGGGTATGGATCATCAGGTAGCATAAGCTTTGCCAGGGGTCTGCAGAGACCCCACAATGTTGAGTCGAAAAAACACCACAGCAAACATCATCAAAGGATCACACACAGTACAAAGGTAAAAACACAATAGATACACCTGACAAACAGCAATTGTACACTAATCAGTAACAACAAGCAAACAGACAAATAAACTGTAGTACATGCAACCATTCTGCATTTTGAAATTTCACCATTACGATTTCACTCTGCACTATGGGCGCAGTAGGATTGGCATTATTGCTCTGCAAAAGGTTACCAAACTTTACATTACAATGCAGAAGGCTTGAGTATACTACAGTAATATATACAGACAGCAGAGCACTGCAGAGACACCTTGACGTTTGTTCTACCTCTACTGACTCAAATGTTTGGCACCAATCACTAGCAATTCAAAGAGCATCCCTTTTCAGCCTTTGGATGTTGATTTTGGCTTCTAAGGCTGCAGTATGTGCACTCTCCGCGACAACCACTGCCCTGCATCGCCTTGCAGGCGTGGAGGAAGGACTGCAGTACTCTTTGACAAATGCGATGGCACACAACCAAAAAAACTTTCCTGGACTCCGTCACTCACAGACAACTCACACTGGATAAAGTGTATGCGAAGCTGCACCTGACTTTTAGTCGATAGGAACTGGACACTTCCAGCGATCTGAGTTCATTAAAAGACATGACCAGAGTGTCATACTTCCACATAGGTTTCAAGGGTACACAAATTCAAGCATCAATTCTCTCATTCATTCTGTGCCCTGCTTCTGCTTGAAAGCGCAAGGGCAGTGCTTTGTCTTGCTATGGTAAATCTGATAAGAAGATTCAACAGCGGAAGAGTGTCCACAAACCAACAATGCTTGCCATGTAACAAGCATTCCATCCTGAGGCAAGAGCTGTAGAGTGAGATTCATTTCCACAATGCAGAAAATGCTGGTATCTCTGCTCACAAATCAGGCAACAGCGAATCCATGCAAAATATAATTGATTCACACATCTGAGCTCAATATGAAACTGAGAGGTGCCTACCAGGATCTGTAAAGTCAAAATAATGTATGGATACCAAAACCAAGATGATAAATGTATTTCATCTGTAGGAAAGCAGTGGGAAGGCTGGCTTTCACAGCTCCAATTGGCTTTCTGCCAACTCAGGGCCCCACAATCTCTGTTGGTTTTTGTGAAGTTGAAAATCGTCAGGCAACTAACAGAACGAGAAGAAAATACAACTCACACCAGCTAACAGTTGCCAATTCCTTTAGCATCTGGCTGAATTTCAGTGCTGTTCTTGCTCATAGCAGTTGTGAGAGCAGGTTCATCTTGATTGGAGACATTCGCCAAAGAGATTTGGCTGCCATGATACTTCACCACGATCTGCATTTACAAACCTTGAAATCGTTTTTTCCCTTTTTGTGGATACATCGGCTGTTCTTGCTGGCCCGCTCCTTAGCACTTGTGGGTCCACCTTTCCCTAGCGGACGCCTTTTTGCCTGCAGATGCAAAATCAAACAAGGCAACAGTTGAGATATCCCATTTTGACACCTGAGTGGCTCAACTTAGAATCTGTGTTCAAAATTTACCAGCTGTTTTGCTGATGTGTTGGCTGTGTCAGTCCACCACATTACCACACTTCCATACCCTTTTTGAAAACGTGTAAAGCAAAGTGCTCTGCATATCAAGGCGATGAGGGACACTTTTTGCAAAGCCAACACTTTTCCCTGCCAACTGGGCATCCGCATGGGAGCACCTGGTGGATGGCAGCACACCTCTGACGAAGTGTACAACACATGAACTCTGATTCGCCGCATTCATTCGCCAGAACTCCATGCAATGCCCAATGCCACATTCTTACCAGATGCACAACGAGAATGAGGCAGGACGTGGCTTGGTCAGCATCATGCAAAGCAGTCATGCATACCCTATGTGTGTGGATAGGGTTACTGTTGCCAATCGGTTCACGGAATGCACCGGTGCAATAGCGTCTACTTCATCAGCATCTTCATTAGCTCCCAATCAACTTTCCAACATGCAAACGACCCTCAATCTGGGTGGGTATCAGGCTGCCACAACCAACCGCACACAGCAAGTCCAGTATTGGGGTTAACCAGGGGCCTCCCAACACCTACCTCCACTGGCTTCTCATGCATTTCTTTCAACTTTGCGCTCTTCTGAACGGCTCTCACACCCGCCTCATCCACAACCATAGTGAGGCCCAGTGGAGCAACCTCGCCGATGCCGAAGACTGTCAGTGCACGCTCTGCACATAAGGCAGGGCCAACAGACAAAGATCATCACAATATCCCCACACAACAAACAGCCATGCCGCCCACATCTGCATCGATTTTGCGCAGGATTCACTTTGTCCAGTCCAAATTTTTGTCACACTGCACTGCTGGCTGCGGGGTAGGAACAACAGCAGTCCGTAAAAGGATAAAACTTTGGACTTGCTTCAGAGACTCAGTGTACTTTAGATCGAGGACATTCCATTTGCAGGCATGTACCTGACACTGCCATGCATGTGCGAGCGATGTGTTAAGGCACCTTCTGAACATCAGTTCATGCGCAACAAACTGCTGCTGCTGACACCGAACAACTCCCTTGTCATCGTTGTAAGAAACGAGGAGATGCATAGTCGCACCTGAGCTGCAAAGTTTACAGTTCAGGTTCCCCACACATATCCTAGCCTCATCAGTGCCAAGGCAGAGCTTTGTCATGAAACAACCCACTGTAGCGGCTCAACCCATGGGAACCGAGTTGCGATTCTGTTTTCCTGTGCCATTTCGTTTTCTGTTTTCTGTTTGCCCTGCTCTGTTGACTTTGGTGTTGCGGTATTACCTCAGTAGGCACTGTGAGATCCTGGAAGACAGCTAGGCAGCTGGCAAGGTCTGATCATAAGAATGCCACGAAGGCATGGAACTTTACCAGCACACTATGGATGCTGCATGCAAGGATACATTAATTCACACTGCATGTTGTAACAAATCTTCAAGTTCCAACAAAGAACGGCAGGGAACACAGGGACAGCATATCAAGTGGCAACAGTCCTGGTTGTGCACAACAAACACAACCCAACAGGGGCTCAATCAGTGCAGCATCAGCTATTCCAAATGCCACCAAACAAAGACTTTTGTCAAGGACAGCCACCTTCCGCAGCAGACTCCTCTTTCTTGTTCTCCTCCTTCGATTTCTCTTGCTTGGCAGGGCCAGCAGGCTCCGGGGCCTGAGCAGGCGCCTCTGCACCTCCCTCAGCCTCTTCAGGCGTCTGCCGATCGGCTTCGCCCATCTCAGCATCGGGTGCGGCAGGGCTCCCTTCAGAGCCAACTTCATCTTCAAGGTCGTTGGTGTCATAGCCGAGGCTGATTTCATCATCGTCAAACAACATCTCCTGGAGGTGCACCCCCTCTGTCAGTGTTGCCAAAAACAGCTGGTTTGCACGCGCTTCTATAGCACAAACCAGTGCACTGGTACCTTGACAATGGCAACAGACAGTCTTGCACCCAAAGAGTCTGTGTTTTCAATGGATTCTATACATGTGGACATTGTATTCGTTCTCTTTGCTGAAATTCCAAGCTCTTCACTAGGTTGATTTGTGTTTTGGGGTCCACTACCTACCAGAGTCTGCGGCATTCAGCCCCAAACCACGATGTTTTGAACAAAAAGACTGTGGAACAAGGCAGATTCCTTCCTCATAATTGTCTCTCCCACCCAATTCCAAGCACTGGCAACAGGGTACATGAGGAAGAGGAAGCTCAAATGAGGCCCCTAACAGATGTGTTGTTTAGGCTGTCAAGTCGGTTGGGCAACGTTTCCTTTCAGTCGGCACATGCACACGTCGAACAAAGCCAGCTACCATTCAATACTCAATGCAACAGTGTGCAGTATCGTTGCTCACAAAGCAGTGAAGGACTGGGCATAGAATTTTATGGAATTAACCACACAGGGAATGATTTCAAGGTCAGCACCAGACTCTCAATTTAACACAGCAGCTGATACTTTGTCGAGTCTAGATAGTTGCAGCTGCCACTGGTTACTGCATTTTAGTGACATCACTGAAGGTCCTTCTGATCATGCATCGCCACAAAACACAGCAAGCCCACACACCCACCAGGTAATGAATGACCAACAAGGAACAGTGATTGGTGATGAAACACATGGGCAATACACAGGACCTGGGTGGCTGTATGCCACTTGGGCACAAAAGAAAGTTTGAGTCAAAAAGGGGCTAGACTGTGACACGAATCTGATCTAGTGTGGAGGCAGATATTAACAAACTACCAGACATGAACAAAAAAGAAATGTCAGCCTGCACCACCTCCAAGTAATCGTTCTCCAACTTCTGGCGCTTTTCCGGGCGACCATCTGTGCCCGCAACCTCCACATCTTCGTTTGGACGCTTCTCTGAGTGAGCTGCACAGATGTTGCCAGGCATTTAGCACACAAAGATGGACAAAAACACAAGCGGACTAACGTTTGAGCTCATTGCCTTCATCTGTAAACATCAACCAGAGTCGTCGTCTGCGGCTCCATATACATGCAAACATCCATATGGATTAGTTTACGATTCTTGGCAGAAAGCCTTCAACATTATTCCGATGCTGTGGAAAGGGCGGTCATGCAGGGAAGCTTCGATTTTGTTTGGATAAGTTTGTCAGAATGTGGCAATCAGGCGCCTATGAGGCATGGTTTGGGAATCCAAGGAAACACAGCACCAACTAAATGGGGCCTGTCACCACGGGCAAATCGCAATTCACTTTGCAGCAGCACTGCCTAGACGACTAGATTCTCTTGGCCCACAAGTAGTCCGTGGCACACCAGAGCAGGGTCAATACTGGGCTGGCCATGCTGCACATCAAAAGCAGATACTGCATTCAGAAAACAGTTAAGAGGTGTGACTGAGTTCATGTCACACCAGGAGATATAGCTGAAAACAGAGTTTTCCTCAAAGCTGCAGCCATCTTGCTGAACCTTTAATCTCTATTAGCAGTTCGGATTCATGGCTCAATGCAAATGAACTAGTGAAGGGACTGCGACTTCAGCAAATGCCCACTGCACAAACTGGATGCCCATTGTCTGCCACTTGGGAAAGGGGGAATGGACACAGTGCTGCACTATCTCTAGCTTGAATGGGCATGATGTCAGTACTCAAAAGCGTGTGGCAAAACACCCAGAAATCACACATACCAGCCACTGTGTCTTCTGCCTTCTCTGGATCTACACAAGGTGCTTCCTCATCCTGAGATTCGCCAAACAATACCAAGCCACAATGCATCAAAACCACAATCACATGCACAGAGGGCAAACAGGAAGCAGGTCAATCGATGGTACACAGACTTGTCACATGCAAACACTGTAGAGACACTGTCAATGCAATAACCATATGGAGATGCAGACGTTGGAAGGCATGCGAGAGGTACATTTTGTCCAGCTGTCTCCGCACTCCCAACAAGACAACATGGAGAAATACAGGTGTTGGTGACCACAGCCACAATCTGGCCACAAAGGCCAACAGACTGTACCCCATACTTGGGCTGACCAGATTCGACCCAAACTATGGCATTTACGGTAACATGCTTTGAACAATCTGCATGCGGCCAACATTTCCTCCCAAATGCAGGGTCTGTGCTTTGCCATTTTTTGAATTGAAAAATGATAAAGCCTTACACCTGCCCTGACAGGGTGCAGCTGCATATGGCTGCAACTAACTGACGCATGCAAACTTATGCCACCTCTTCAGATACTGCATTTCAAGTATATGAGGGACTCTGCCTGCAGACTCCATGTATCTCCTTGCAGAGGCAAAAGTGAGGCTGAGGGACCCACACATCGGCTCTTTCCCCCCTTGCCTGCTCTGTCCCCCCCCTCTTCCATCAATGTGGCAAAATCTGCCCTGGAAGCAAGCTCGCAAAGCGCATCCTCATTTCCCCTTTCCCCCAGGTCAAGGTGTCACCAAGGCAGCTATGCCACCTGAATGACCCCTTGTATCCCCAGCTCAGGTGCTGTTCTGTGGCATCTGCGGACAATATTGTCATGCAGCCTCCATGACCTTGGTATGCAGTGGCCTCACTGCAGCCCCCGAACTCCTAAAACACAGTGGTTGGCAGGCGGCTGCAACAGCCTATCCTGGTCAATGGCCGTCCACATCAGTTCATGGTCGTGCAGTACATCTCCTAACATACCTGCCCATTGGCAGCTTCGTCGCCTTGCTCACCGATGTCTACATCGCTGTCACTATCTTCACTCCCAGAAACAACAAGTGGCACTGGAGCATCTTCCTGGGGAAGTGTTTGTTCTGGCACAGGGCTCCCATCCTCCTCTGCCACTTGTTCATCGACTAGCATTTGCTCAGTGGAGTTTGCTTCCACGATTTCTGCATCGTTTGGAGAATTTAGCTCCACAGCGGTGCCCTCCTCTCCAATATCCAGTTCCTCTGTTGTGGGGGATTCCCCCACGAGTGCTTGCTCTGTTCCAGGGGATCCCCCTTCGATCATCAGTTGCTGTGCTGCAGGGGAACCCCCATCGAGAGCCACTTGCTCTGTTCCAGGGGACTCCCCCACAAGCACCACCTGCTCTGCTGCAGGGGATTCCCCTTCCAGCAGCACCTGTGCTGGTGAGGGGGATCCCGCCTCCTTTGTCATGACTTTGTCTTGAGGTACCTCGTGCCAATCACTTTCACTCTGGCACGCTGGATTCTCTGCTGCAGGTGATAGCTCTTCAACTGCCATCACAGGGTCTCCCGCTTCCTCTTTTTGTTGCTCAGCAGCAGGGGATCCCCTTTCCAGGCCCGTAGACCCTGCTTCAGGCGATCGCCCATTGGGAGCTTGTCCCTGCGACACAGCTCCACTCGGTGCAGCAGATTTCTCCTCAAGCACCACCCGCTCAGCATCCGGCGCCCCCTCCTGAGATGGGAGGCCTCCTGCGTCGGGCCCCGCCTCCGCCACAAGGTCTGCCTCCTTGGAGTCCAGACCTTGTCTCGCGGGCTCTTCCTCCTGCGCTGCAGGTACTTCCTCTCCAGGTCTGCTCTCTTGCTCATTTCCAAGAGCGCTTCCCTCTGGAGGCTCCACTCCTGGTTGCAAATTTCCCTCCACGCCGGTGTCCTGCTCTGGGGACATGTCATCCCCCTGCCGCGTAGCCTCCCCCTCCTCACTTCTCCTCTCCTGATCTCCAGCCCCCTGGGTCGAGCAGCCAACAGGATCGCCCTTCCCCTCTGGCGGTGTGCCGGGCGATCTCTGGCTGCAGGGCGCTCCCGGGGCCTCTACCACAGTGGCCTGGCCTCCCAGGCCTCCGTTGGGCCCCTGGGAGACCCCGTTGGGGCTCCCCCCCGCCTCTCCCGCCGCCTGGCCCGCCAGGCACGGTTGCTCGATTGCCTTTGCCTCAGCATCCTCTGCCTCAGCATCATTTGCCTCAGCATCGTTTGCTTCAGCATCGATTGCTTCAGCATCGTTTGCTTCAGCATCGATTGCTTCAGCATCGTTTGCTTCAGCATCGATTGCTTCAGCATCGTTTGCAGGGCGCTCATCAGGATGCGCAGTCGGCGGGGGGAAGAATGATTCGCCGATCTGGGTGAAGCCGGCCTGGCGCAGGCAGTCCGCAACGATCCCGGCGCGGGCGTCCTCGCCGGCGGCGTCGCCGAGGGACGTGAGTGAGAGGTCTCTGCGGCAGGGCCACGGCGCAACGACGGGGGCTCAGATCCGCGGACGCGGAGGACGCGGAGATCGTGGCGCGAGCGAGCAGCGGGGAGCACGGAGCGAGGCCGGGTCCCTCGTCGCGTCCCCGGACGGGCATGGGAGCAGGGAGGCGGGGAGAGCGGCTGCTGGCGCCATCAATCAGACCCGAGACCGTGGGGCCTGGCGGCAAGGCTTTCCCCACAGCTCTGTCGATTTGGCCCAAGACAGAAGAATCCAACAGCGAGCACTGGAGGTAGGATGGGTCGACAGGACAATCAGTTGCCGTCCGTGATCAACTCTCCTTTCCTCTCGCCGCCTCGATCGCCCGTCGGCCGTCGGTGCGCCGATCAGCCGGGGCCTTTGCCTTCCCCTCTGGATCCAGGTGCTCGCCGGAGGAGGCCGCTTGGTGACGCGCTGTGGGCGTGCTTGGGAGAGGTTTGCGTGTGTCGTGCAAGGGTGCCGACGGCCACATGGCCCTAGTAGCCCGCGGAGCGGCACCTGCGTGGATGGCCGGGCCACACGGAGGGGCCCCGCCCAGAGCCGCCGGGCACACAAGGCGCCCACAGAAAGCGACAAAACCGACAAAATCGACTTACATCCGCTCCTGACGCCGCCATCACGCAGCATTCAGCCGCGCACCCAGCCCCCACCCCACCACCCTCTTCCCCTCCACCCCTCGCGCACTTCTCCCACCGTCGGCCCGTTGCAGCCAGGCTCGACGCCAGGAGATCGCACCGCGAAGCGCCAGCGCCAGGCAGCGCAGGCTGCGGCTTCCCAGATTCCACGCACCCTCTCTCCCGGGTCGGCACTCCCACCCACCCACGCGCACCACCACACGCACATCCCGACCCACACCCCCACACATGCACTAACTGAAACTGCCCCCATTCCCCCCCACAAACACTCACCCGCCTTGCCCAGGACCTACCCCACACCCCGCCCTCACCTGGCGCTCAGGGCGGCCAGCACGTCCGCCGCCGACAGCCCCCCCTTGGCCGCATCACTCCCAAGAGGGTACAGCTCTCTGACATGGTCCAGCAGACTGCTCCCCTCCTTTGCCCCACTTCCCCCGTCCTCCTCCAAGGCCGCCTCCGCCTCTTCCGCGGGAGGCGGCTCCAGCGCGTTGGCCTCGCCTTTGGCCTTTGCGGCCTTGCCCACCATGGCGCGGAGGCGAAGGGGGGTGAAGGAGCAGAGGCGAATCGCAGTGTGGAGCCCCGGCGGTGCGTCCTCCGCCCTCATAGAGGGTATGCCCCCCATGACGGAAGGTGCATCGCAGCAGGCGGACGCCCTCCACCGTAGTAATTTTGCTACATCACAATTCCGTCGTTCGCGTTTTTCGGTCATGTAGATTTCTGTCGGTTCATCATCATCATCATGATTTTTTACACATTTTATGATTTTTTTACGCAATCTGTCGGCTCAGCCGTTCAGTTGGTGCCCATGTCATCGAAGCCATGATGACGTAAAGTGACAGAGTTGCCTGGTCCGTATCATCACAAACATTCCTTTGGAGTTCGGAGCTCCAAAGGAATGTTCGCAACGAAGCGACGGCCCTGGGGGCCGTTGTACGAATGCACAAGTGCCCAGACGCCGCATGTTGGCGGTGAGATCGCACATGCAGGAAGGGAGTGGCGACTGCCCGCGAGTCACGGCCCCAAGTGTCAATGCAGCATGATTTTCAGCCGCCACTTGCAGCCTTCAGAGGTCTCCTCGAGTTTTGAAGCGCAGCAGTCCGCGTTCTTCCCAGCCACGGGAAGACCAGCACCAAAAGACCTCGTGTGAGGAGAGAACAGAGCACCGGAATGGAGAATTGTGATCGTAGCTATCAGATGCGAAAGATTGTTGCGTAGGACGCAAAAAGACAGTTCTTGGGGCATTAGAGTGGTTCCCAATGATACTTGACCCGTTGTGTTCAATTTTCGGTCGCTCTCTACTAATGTACAGAAACAGCTCTGGGACATCTCCCAGTCATGGCGCCTCATATACGAGTAAATGTGGAAAATACACATATTCCTTTCTTCATTTGTGAAAGACCCAGGAAGGGGATATATCAATCACCACTGTTCAGGCTTGGTTTTTACGTTTACGTTTACGTTTTTACTTTTACGTTTTACGCGTAAAAACGTAAATTTGCAAAAGGCCCTATTTTTACGGCCATTTTTACGTTCTTACGGCTCCCTGGCACACGTAGATTACACGGCAAAAGTTGCGTACAATGATCAGTCCTCCGCCATCTCCAGCAACCGCAACACAATGTCCGCCTCGCCCTTGGTAAGGGAGATAATGGCGCATAAAAAAACTCGTCTTCTGCCTCTTTCAAAGCGTCTGACTGCCACTCTCCGGACTCTGTAAATCTGTATGTACTGTCCTTATGTACACCAGGCAGTTTTTACGTTGTATTTACGTACTTTTACGCATTTTTATGCGTAAAAACGTAAAAACTGTTTTTACGCGTAAGAACGTAAATACGATCAGTTTTTACGGCGTAAAAACCAAGCCTGCCACTGTTTAACCCAGGCTTCTTGTTTACGTTTACGTTTATTTGCGTACGTTAACTCTTTATGCATAAAATTATAAATTTGCCAAAGGGGCTATTTTTGAGGCTGTATTTATGTTTTCACCGCTCGCTGTGACACCCAGGTTACACCATGAAAGTCGCGTGTAATGATCAGTCCTCCGCCCCCTCGAGCGCCTGCAACACAGCGTGCACCACGCCCTCAGCAAGGGCAACGACGGCGTGGAACAAAAGTTCGTTTTCCGCCCATTCCAGCACGCCTGGCTGTCACTCCCCGGACTCTCTAAATCTCTACATTAGGAAAAAAGGGCCAAATAACACGTGTTCAAACGTGTGCAAAGTTTACGGGTTTGGGTTAATTTTGTGTTCTTAGCGTGCATATCTTTGATGAAATGTGTTTTATCCGTGTTGGCAAAAGCGTTTTCCGGTCCTTTTTCTGCTAGTGCTATGTATTGCATTAAGTACACTGTCATGAGCTGTATTTGAAAACAAAAAAATATTTGTACGAGTAAAACGAAAATAAATTCAGATAAATTCAGATTTCACGGGGTAAATAACAAGCCTGCTTGAACCCAGGAATGCGATAAGCCTATGTAGTCCCAGGAGGAGCGTGCTTTTAGCATGGACAGTATTCACCTCACAGACTGATTGCACAAATTACTTCCCAGTCCAATGTCGGCATGAATGATTTGGAAAAATCCACAGAAGTAGACAATGCATACTATAGATACCAGTAACACCGCAGATGCGCCCAAAGCTTTGAACGTGTTTTGCAGCGACTTCTAAGACTTCCTGCCCCGTCCTCCCCTCTTCCCTCGGTCTTTGTTGCAGCACAAGCCGTACTAACAACATCAGCAAATTAGACAATTCGAGCGTGATTCGACGATGGGCAGGATCACTCCGCGGGGAAGCTATGCGCGAAACGCATGCGCACAGCACTTTGCCCTCCGTGCCCCTCCCTCATAGCCGCCATTTTTTCGGGGATGTTGAATGCAGCACACTTCATCTCCATTCTCAAATTGACGAAACTGGCGCTATCACTAGGAGAAAAGGGCCAAATATCACGTTTTCAAAGGTGTAGGAAGTTTAGGGGGTTGGGTTATTTTCGTGTTTTCTGCGTGCAGAACACCAATGAAATTCACACAAACGTGTTCGCAGAAAATGATGTTTGGTCCCTTTTCCGCTAGTGTATCTGTCGAGGTGAAAAATTGAATCCTATCTCTTCGGCGAGAAGCGCTCGATATGTGGATTGCGGGGCACGCCAACATGCGCAACGATTGTCTCCATCGCCAACTCGTGGCGAGCGCATCTTCTCTTCCTTTTTTTTTCAGCATCATCTCTTCCACTGCCATGCCTTCGATCACATTCGTCGAGGCCAATCAGATCTTTTCTGACATCGCAATGCAAGAGCATTTTTAAAAATGCTCTTGCATTGCGATGTCAAAAAAAAATTTGCTTCGGCTGCCGCTCTGCGCCAGCTGGCTTTGCCCTGGCAAAATAGGCAGCTGACCGCTACCTCATTACCTTGTTCTGTAAAATGAACGATGATTATTCTTGTGATGATGATGATGACGATTGCGGGGTACATGAACTTGCGCAGCGATTGTCCGCATCGCCAAAGCGGAGCTCGCCACCATGGCAGCGGCCGCTGTTTGACCGCCCAAAATGGTTGACGCGCGGGGGAGCGGACGCCCGGCCTCCTTTCGCCCTGCCCCCCCTCCAGGAGCCCCTTAGCCCGATGGCTGTAGACGAGGGTGCCCCTGCTCTGAGCGACGCGCTGCGCGGTCGGCATCCGAAGGCGGCGGTAGGCGACGGGGGAGTTGGCGGTCAGAGGGTTCAGCAGAGGGGGCCGGGCGGCACCGACATCCACGGCGCCGATCCCCGTGAGATAACCAAGGTCAGCGGGGAGGCTGAGATGACGGCTTGTTGCAGTGGCTGGGATACCATTCCAATTGCGATTTTAAAAATGCAGATAGTGCGTTTGTAAGTAAGGCTCTGGTTGGATTGTGTGCCACAGGCCTACCTTGAGCTTGTTTCTTCAGGAAAGCTCGGTGAGAAACAAAGCGGGACTGGCGCAGGTCAGATTTTTTGAACACGGGAGCATGCCATCAAACTGTGATTTGCTCCTGTCGCGTCTCTCACCCCACCCCAACCCCGTGTAGTACATCTTCCATGTGCGTTTCTCTTGTGCAAAAAGTGAATAGAGCCAGAAACTGGTTTTCAAAACGATGGAAATTTCACATTGGTGTTGGGCCCAGGAACTCTATTTTGTCGATGTCCGGCACCGAAACAATGGCAATCCAATGATTGGGTACTCTCAAAAGTCATCTGAGTAGCGGGAATTTCTGAAAGTACGAAAATTTGATATATTAATTCGTTCATGACGTGCCTGTCGCACCAGCGCAGTTCAGCTGTTGTCGTAATGCAATATTCGTACCTCTGGATGAATAATCGCCCGACAATCAATTGTGGCGCATTTCGTTGGAGATCCCCCCACCCACCCACCCACCCACACACACACACACACACAATGATCGATCATCTATTTTTTTCCAAAAAATGAAATGAATTCACTGCGCTTCACCTGTACTATCACTCATTCCATAGTGATTAAAACACCCCGTTAAACTCAAACTCCTAGCCCCGCTGCCTTTGGGGGTTGAGGGCTCAAAATGCCAGGTTGGAAACACGGAACACACGGCGAGCATTCCCAAGGTGCACCAAACACGTTTTGACCAAAACGTAATTCTCACGAGAAGAATCGGCGCGGTGATACACTAATTCGCACAATACTTTGTCCCAGCCGTTGCCAAATGGGAGTAACCTTGTCCATACTTCTCAGATGTAGAACCTACGTCAGGCGCCGCCTCAGGCAGCCGTCCGCACCAACCCGAGGTCGGTGGCGAGGTGGGCGCCGTGGAAAGTGGAGCGATGGAAGATGCAGCGCCACAAGGAGCGCATGAAAGCTCTGTTGGTGGCAGCGGGGCCCTGGGCCCAGCGGCCCCAACAGAGGCCCCTGATTGCCGGGGGAGATCCTCTCCGCAAAGAGCCGTGAACAGGGGAAAACAACAGAAACGGCGGAAATCCGCACCTCTGAGGTACCGCCGCTGAAAACCTAGTGTGTACTACCGAGTACACTGAAGTACACTACTGTGCCAGTCATTATTTGGTGCGAAAATCCGCACTTCTGGTGTACTGCCTCTGAAAACCTAATGTGTTTGGCTAGTAAACTGAATCGATTTACTGTGCCAGTCATTACTTGTTGCGAAAATCCGCACTTCTGGTGTATTACCTCTGAAAACCTAATGTGTTTGCCTAGTAAAGTGAATCGAATTACTGTGCCAGTCATTATTTGGTGCGAAAATCCGCACTTCTTGTGTATTGCCTCTAAAGATCTAGTATGTAATGCCTAATAAACTGAAGTATATTACGCACAACTGCGGTGCATTGCATTTGACTGCACTGCACTGATGAGGTCATTGGTTTTGCCAGTGGTGCCCATTGCCCATTGATGGTGAAAAGCACCCGAAAGAACTTCGCTAGCGAATCTTGGCTGAGGTGTGTTGCGTATCCAGGTCGGCAGGCTTACTGCTGCATTTTTTGCCCAAGTAATTGGCTGCTTATTATTTACTATTCATTCCATTGT